CCCCGCCACCCCCTTCTAACGCAGCTCGTCCATTGCAGACTCACACTGTAGAGCACCCCACCGCGCCGGCCGCCGGCCCCGAGTGACCGGCCCGCCCCGCGTGGGTCTGCTCTCCCCGCAGGCATGCTCAGCCACCCGCCCATCCCCATCTCCGACATGGCAGAGCACACCGAGCGCCTCAAGGCCAACGACAGCCTCAAGCTGTCCCAGGAGTACGAGGTGAGCTGGCCCCGCCCCGGCCGCCGGGCCCTGTCGCCCACCCTGGCACGACGCCTCTGACGTCTGCTTTCCCGCAGTCCATCGACCCCGGCCAGCAGTTCACGTGGGAACACTCCAACCTGGAAGTGAACAAGCCCAAAAACCGCTACGCCAACGTCATCGCCTACGACCACTCCCGGGTCATCCTGCAGCCCATCGAGGGTAACGCGGGCCGGCACCCCGCCCTTCCGCCCTCCCTCGGGCGCCACCGTGCCTCGCAGCCGGACGAGCCGGGGGCGGGGCGGGAAACCCAAGCCCAGGTCTAGTCGCAGGCCGGGCCGAGCCGAGACCCTGGGAAAGCCCAGAGGCACACCCAGCTGGCCGGACCCCGCTCCCCGTGTCCTGCTCCGCCAGTGGTTCTCAGGGCACCCCCACCCCCGGGCGCATTTTGGGACTGCCAGGCACTCTCGGTTGTCACAGCCTCTTGGGGAGGCCTGGAGGGCGGAGACCCAGGGTGGCCAGCGCCCGCCGTGGCTCCGACCCCACGTGGCAGTAACGCCGAGGCCGAGAACCCGCGCGCCGCCAGCCCACAGCTCGGGCCCGGGCGGACCCATCAGCGGCCGGGCCCCCCCGACGCCACCTCTCACCCCGCCTCAGGCATCGTGGGCAGCGACTACATCAACGCCAACTACGTGGACGGCTACCGCCGGCAGAACGCCTACATCGCCACGCAGGGCCCGCTGCCCGAGACCTTCGGCGACTTCTGGCGGATGGTGTGGGAGCAGCGTTCTGCCACCATCGTCATGATGACGCGGCTGGAGGAGAAGTCACGGGTGAGGCCCGCCCTGCCCGCCGGCCCCGCCGCGGCCGCCGCGCCCGCCGGCGCTCACCTCCCTTCTCTCGCCGCGACAGATCAAGTGTGACCAGTACTGGCCCAGCAGGGGCGCGGAGACCTACGGCTTCATCCAGGTCACGTTGCTGGACACCATCGAGCTGGCCACGTTCTGTGTGCGGACGTTCTCTCTGCACAAGGTGGGGCCCGGGCCAGGGAGAGGGGTCTGGGAGGGGGAGGAAGACAGAGGGTCCCGCGTCCGCCAGGAGCTCCCCACGGGATCGAGACAGGCCCGCTGGGCCAGGCCGACCGCGTCCTGGTGCCGCACGCCCAGCGGGCAGGGAAGCCGAGGCTCTGCAGGAGGAAGCCAGCAGGTCCCGGCCCTGCGTGACGATGCCCTGGGAGCGCTGCTCCCAGTCTTTCCTGCCCCCTCGGCCTCTGGGTTGGGCCCCCGCGGGCCTGTGTTGGTTTCCCAGCAGGGTCTCTGCCTGGAAGCCGACGGAGAGGGGCCTCGGGGGAGAGGAAGGACCTGGGTCAGGTGCCCACTGTGGCGTCTGCAGGGGGAGCAGGCCGGGGGGCGCTGGGGGGCGAGAATTGGCGGCCGGGACAGGCGCTGAAGGCCAGCTGCCAGCCTGGCTGGGTGCGGGTGGGTGGGGAGGGAAGTCGGGGGAGTCCTGACTTTGCCAGAGATGCTGGGGGTTGGCGCGCCGTCAGCCGAGATGGAGAGAAGCTTAGCGAGAAAGTCAGGGCAGTGCTGGGGCCTGAAACCCCCACGTGGAGACCCCCCCATGCCCAGAGGGCAGCTGGCCATCCCAGCGGGGCGGTCCAGGAGCACGGCGGTCTGGAGGCTGCCGTGACAGGCTCTGTCCCCTGTCCCCGTGACCCCCAGAACGGCTCCAGTGAGAAGCGCGAAGTCCGCCAGTTTCAGTTCACGGCTTGGCCGGACCATGGGGTGCCCGAGTACCCAACGCCGTTCCTGGCTTTCCTGCGGAGAGTCAAGACCTGCAACCCCCCAGATGCAGGCCCCATCGTGGTCCACTGCAGGTACCGGCCCCGCCCGCCGCCCCGCCCCGCCCTCGCCGCTCCCCCACTCCCCACCCTGCGAGGCGCCCGCCGCACCCCAGGGCCCCCACAGCGCGCCTGTCCCCGCAGCGCTGGCGTGGGCCGCACGGGCTGCTTCATCGTCATCGACGCCATGCTCGAGCGCATCAAGCCGGAGAAGACCGTGGACGTGTACGGCCACGTGACGCTCATGCGGTCGCAGCGCAACTACATGGTGCAGACCGAGGACCAGTACAGCTTCATCCACGAGGCCCTGCTGGAGGCCGTGGGCTGCGGCAACACCGAGGTGCCGGCCCGCAGCCTCTACGCCTACATCCAGAAGCTGGCGCAGGTGGAACCCGGCGAGCACGTCACCGGCATGGAGCTGGAGTTCAAGGTGGGCGTGCCAGCGCCTGTGGGCCGGGCGAGCGGGCGGGCTCCGGGTCGTGCCCCCGACCCAGGCCACCGTGGCGCCGGAGCGGGGCCCCGCCACCCCGCAGGGCGCTCCTGAGGCCGACCCCCCTCCTGTGCCCGCAGCGGCTGGCCAACTCCAAAGCCCACACGTCCCGCTTCATCAGTGCCAACCTGCCTTGCAACAAGTTCAAGAACCGCTTGGTGAACATCATGCCCTACGAGAGCACGCGGGTCTGCCTGCAGCCCATCCGGGGCGTGGAGGGCTCTGACTACATCAACGCCAGCTTCATTGACGGCTACAGGTACTCGCAGCGGCCGCGGTGGGGCTCTGGCCTTTGCCCAGTGATGCTGGGGGGGCCCCGCCCTGCCCACAAGGGGCTTTTGCAGTCGGGCAACTGCAGGACAGGCGAGGCCAGCTCCGGGCAGGCTCCGGAAGCGACGGTCTCCGGATGTGCGTTTAGCCGGCGGCCCCGACGGGCGTTTCCGCCGTCCCCTGCGTCGGTGTTTCTTCATCGGGGCGTTTCTCCTGCCCCCCGAGACTGGGCGGGTCTAGAAGTGGGGCAGTGCTGGCCTCCAGTAAGTGGGGGCGGGCTGCTGCTCAGCACCCTGCAGTGCACGGAACAGCCCGCGGCAGGAAACACTGCCCGCCGCGGGCGCCCGCTGCTGCCCGAGGGGAGGGTCCAGGCGGAGGCCCAGGGCCCGAGCGGGGCCCTGAGGGCGGGGGAGGGGAGGCAGGAAGGTCGGACACAGTCCTGCAGCTTTCTCGGTCCCAGTGTAGCTTGTGGCGGATGGTGTCGCCGTGTGGAAGGCGAGAGAGATTTCGGGGGGCTGAGTCAGGCGGCGTGGGGTGCGCCAGATGGCAGTGCCCGAGGGGCAGGGGCGTGGCGGGTGCGGCTGCCGTGGAGTGCCGCCC